AGTTTACTTTATTTCAGATAAGGATCTAACCAAACCTGCTAAGATCATACTTTTCTATTTGACAAATGAACAACTGTTTTAAAATAAATTTCTTCAAATCTAGATTTTTACCATTAAGATTAGCTCAATATTTTTGTTTTGTTTGGTTTGAGACGGAATCTCACTCTGGACCAGTGTGGAGTGCAGCGGCGCGATCTCGGCTCACTGCAACCTCTGCCTCCCAGGTTCAAGCAATTCTCGTGCCTCAGCCTCCCGAGTAGCGGGACTACAGCTGCGCCACCACACCTAGCTATTTAAACTTAGTGTTTTTCATAAAAACCAATGAATAATCTACCTTTTCTATAAAGAAAAGTCATTATAGATGATTTGAGAAGCACCCAAAAAATCCTAAATTCCCGAAAGAATTCTTATTCTGACATTAATTTTACATTCTATGGAACAAAAAATGCCACACTTCCATTTTACCTAAATTATCTGTTAAGAAAAGAGAACTTATATACAAAAGTACTTTATATTAACTTAAAAAATGTAATTGATGAAACCAACTACCCTAATTTAGAGTCTCTGAAACATTAATTTTTAAAAATCACCACATCGGTTAGGATTCTAAGGTACGCAAGTCTTAGTTTTATTCTTATTTTTTTCTTTCTTTCTAACGCTAGTCTTAAAATTGCCTCTGGTATTTTCTAAATGTGCTCAGAAGTCCTAGGGCTCTGGTAGTTTTTTAACTAATAAAATAAACATAGCAATAGAGTACCTGCAGTTCTGCTAACAATATTGTTTATATTACAAGTCCAATCCACAAAGGCTACAGAGAAAAATATCCAGTATAAACAAACATTACTTAGATACCAGTGGCATCTTAAAGCAGCACACCCAAGTCTCAAAATGCAAAAGGGAGAAATTTTCCACTCCCACGATGCCAGGCACAACTCCCTGGTAAAGCACTTGTCAGGTAAAAGACAGTGACATTGCCTCTGTTACTGTGAAGTTGGAGAGGAGGTGTGGGTGTGAAGCACATCAGTAATTCTTCATTTTTTCACCCTCTTTTTTTTCCCCTCAATATATCTCTTCTTTTCCACAATGTCTCTCCTTTCTCCATATTTCCTGCTTTTAGTTGCTCTCCCATCTTCTTCCATCCCCAATTCCAACAAAAAAGACAGCTTTGTCCTTTAATTCTGTTAACATCAATCTCTAAATTTTATACAACACACATTCATAAACACTACTGGATCATATTTTCAAAAGAATATACAAAGGGCAAAGAGGGGGATGAAATGGGCTGGGGTTAAAGCTAAGAAAAAAATTACCCACTGGTATTTGCAATGCCTAACCTTCTAGCTGAGAGAGAAGTTAAACCCTCCAAAAAAGCAGGAGTCAGCCAAGAAATGCTAGGAGGAGGTAAGACATAGGTTCATGTAGCCCTATGAGAATCACATGAGCCAGTACAGCCACCTCACCAGGCTGGAACAGTCAGCTGAAACCTGAGGAGTGCCTCCTCTTTCTAAGTTTGCCCTTTACTTCTAGAGCCCAAAGGCTTAAAATTGAGGAAGGAGGACATGTTGCTCTTTAAGACTGATCCCAGTTGAGTCCCTGATCCTTTCCAAGTAGACGCATCTTCCCAAACTCTTGCACATACTTCTGTTGCTTCTTAGCACTACTAAGTTTTCCTCTCTGCTTACACTTATCATGCTCTGCTTACTTAAGGCCTTACCATTAAATAAAACTTTGTATCTTAGTTTTCTCAATTGTAAAATGAAGATAATTACAATTACAGAGTTAAGAGGATTAAATATTCCAGTATTTATAAAGTGTTTGGGACATGAAAGTATTTGTTTAAATAAAATAAAAATAAAGGAAACTATCTCTGAATGCACATACCCAAATTCAAACGACAATAAGTTTTTTACAATGGTAAAACAGACTTCAAACAGAAAAGAACACTGAGCGTATTGAAGTTGTCACTGTATCATCAATCCTATAGAGTTACTAAGGACTGAGAAAGATTCCCTAAGAAACCAGGCTTTATCTTAAACTTCCATATTTAGTCAATTTTGGTCCTGAAACACTAATTATTAAGGAAGAAACACATCTATTTATTTTCTGAAACCACATTTTATAAAGTGGAAATATGAGTCTACCCTCAGCATGGAACATCCTGTATCTGACTATTCAGCATTGCACGTCATTTGCATTCTTTAGGTATTATTTAGATAATATTATTCAAGACATTTCACTGTATATTCTAAAAAAAGAGTTTCAAGTGAAATGTTTAAGAGGAACAAACTTACTTTCATTTTGAGTCAGGGCTACAATAAAATGAAAAGGACAGCTATGATGAAAACAGAAAAAAAAAGGGGGGGACAATATTGAAAAAGAGATAAGAAAATGTCAGCTTCATGACAATGGGGCTATCTACTATGTTTATAATGTGTAAATAAGTAAATGATATAATGGCATCAAAACTTACTATAAACAGAGATCAGAGTGATCTTGAATATGGGCCTACCTATCTGCAAAGTATAAAATTACCTCATGAAAGTAAAAACTCTGCTTTAAACTTTTATTTTCCTATTTTAAAATTGCTTTTAAGGTAAAAATATTCTAAAAACATGTCTGGAGTCTCAAGATAAATTACCAGATACTAACAATTATGTGTGTGTGTGTGTGTTTTTCTATTAGAATTTAGCAACAAGTTTATTTTTTCCTGGTCATTGAAATATAAATTGAAAAAATTTTAAATTGAAATACCAACTTACAAACCTGTAAGACAGCTAACCATATTAAAAATTACTTCTGAAAGACTGATTTCACGAATTTAAGAGCTAGAAAAATTTATACATGTAAACATCTGTTCTCTAAGTTATAGTAATATAATGTTAAGATTTTAAAAATATATGAGATTTTAAAAAATACTGTGTTTACAACAAAATTCTACTCACAGCAATTCAAGGAATATAATTAGAGGTTTTATGAAAATAGATAAATCCTTATTTAATAGAAAGTATTAGCACTGATATTTTTAATCTACACAAATGGAATTTAAAATTTCCAAAAGTTTCTGCTAAAGATATCCAGTTTTGAAGTGTTAAGCTTGTCTAAATTTCAGCATTGTAACTTGAGTTCTAACTTCTGCAGGAAGAAAAGTGCACTTCATTTAAGCAAGAAATTTCCATTACTTCTAGATTAAGAAGCCACACCTCATACAACTACTGACAGGAAAACATTTTAATTCAAACCTCTACCACTACCCAGCCTGAAGCAAAGTTAAAAAAAAAAAAAGAAAGACACGAAAATACAAGCACAACTCACATTTTCAAAGAAAGGAAACTCTTGCTAAATAAGTAGCAATTATGTTGAAGAATTTATATGCTAAAGCACGAATGAATATAAAAACACCAGAGCAGTCAACCATAGCTTTAGCACTTTGAGTATGATTAACAGAATGAACTTTCAAAGGTCAATTAAATGTCAACACACTTTAAAGAGATATTCTTAAGTCTGGTCAATGTATAACAGCACCTCTTAATTCAGGGGTATCCTTCTTAGTTTAAGCATAACGTGCATGGGATAAGTGTACATATATATGCAGAATTACAACATGTCTCCAACCAGATTACTACAGAAAACTCATATATCACTTATCCTAGAGTTTTGACTCTGTTAGTATTTTCTAAGTTATGAAATGATTAAAAGAAAACATAAATATATTACTATATAGTACCATCCAATGAAGATGAAATGCTCAGGACTAAGGTTTATCAAGAAGTTGATGCTATTTATTCAACAATATGAAATCATTCCCAAGGATAATGCTATATTGTCCACAATACATATTATCCAGATACCTAAGTCACCCCCCATTAACCTTCCCTGAATTCTTGTGGTTAAAGAGTTTGGAAAAAAGGAATATGGCATTTAAAAACTGCCACGTTTAGCATCAGAAATTTCTGGGATAGTACAGAACAAGTCCTGAAGGCACTGAGTGCCCATTACTGACCATTTCCATCCAAAAACTCAGTAAGATCTTCAATCCCATCCCACGTGAACTAGGTCAAGTTGTCCAAGAACCTCAGAATGAGCATAGACCACCAAGATTATCTGACCCAATCCTCTCCACTTAACAGATCAGCAAATAAAGATCCAGAGAGGTAAAGTAACCTGGTTTGGCTTACACGGCTCCTTAGCAGATGTCTTAAAACTCAGTCCAGTGCTTTCTTCTCTTCATAAAGTCCATCATATACTTTTTTTTTTTTCCATTAGGACTTTAAGACCAGGACATAATTGCCCAAATAACTGTGGCTACCGTCGGAATTCAGAGAAAGCTGGGATTTTTAAGAAGCTAATGATCTGGGAAGGCTCCAAGGAGAAGCTGGACATTGAAGAATGAGTAGAATCTGGGTGGTTTGAGAGGAGGTATCACTAATGAGGGAAGCAATATGGCTCATGCACACGTGTTGAGCCTGCCACGTTCCTGAACTAGAGAGACAATGTTTAGAGGAAAATGGGGTTTTAAGGCCACCATATAAGCCAGGCATAAAAGGTTCAATTTGATGAGGGAACAAACAGAAAGTTATTAGGGGACTTTAATTTTAGAAACCTGATGTGATGAACGCAGAGACTAGTCTAGCAAAAGGTGTGCAAGAATGGAAGTGGGAAGAGAGAAAGACTTGAGGTGCTTCACAGGGGTCTGTTTAATACTATTAATACCTTATTGGGCTTTTGTGAGGAACAAGTGAGCTGATAGAAGAGAAAGTATTTGACAAGAACAAATGCCCTAGAAAGCAAAATTATATTAAAAGTCTGGGGGTAGGGGCCTCTCTGACCATATCTCCATGTTTTGGTGACACACACATCTCTATAAAAGCAAATTTGGAGATGAACTGTGGATCTTTTCCTATAAGATCATAGAAATCTCTTCCCTTCAATATTTCCAAAAGCTAGATCCCAAGGGGGAGGGACAGCTGCCATCCGTAAGCCCCTGCAAGGCTATAGATCAGTAAGGCTAAAATCCAAAACTAGGATTCTGTCTTTGAGGCAGACCACATAATCAGTGTTTCTGAAAGTGAGTCAAGAAAGTATATAATTAAGGGCTAAATAAGGTAGTACAAGTAAGGAAAAGAGTAGAAGAGACAGTACCTGAGCCAAGGAGGTACATGATGAAAGTTATTAGCTGGCACTGCAACATTGCAGTCCACATCCTTCTCCCATCCCTTTTCCCTCTGTTCAACAACTACTACTTCCATTTTGTCCAGAGGTACTTATCTCCTCCTGCGTTGCGTTGTCTTCCTCTTTTTTTCCTTCTTCTACAGCAACTCTCCAGGCTTAAAAAGGAAATTTGAAAAAGTTATTACAATAAATTAAAAGCTACATATATTAAATATATACTGTGTGATTTATTAGCTGATGTTTTAATTTATAGTCTTACATAATTTACAGAACAACTCCTATGAGACATTTTTCAAGTAAGGAAACTGAAACTTAGAGAGTCAAGGACGTAGGTTGAAGCCACTCAAGCAGTAAATGGCAAAACTAGGATTGCAATCAGGACTGGCTGACTCCTCAACCTATGCTTTGAACCTCTCTTCTAAACAATCACTGCCTCCCTTTTTTTAACTGATAAGCTTGAAAATTCTCATTTATGTGTTGGGCATTTATAGATAGAGCCACTATATGAGTTTGTAGATTAAAGTTTTGACAACCAAGAACAGAGGTGCCTGGGCTTAGCCACACTTGCTTGCCAAATTATCTGCTTTAGGACTAAAATTTTTGAAATGTGTGGCTTGAAGGATGTTGAAGGGACAGCCCTCCATTCAGCATTCTTGTCTGTTCTCTCTCAGGTCATCTGTCCTTTAGGGTCTATTCCCAATCATTTGCTTGAAACCGTATCTCCCTAGTTGAAGAGAAGGCTGGGACTGCCACTCCTACAAATCACCAACAGGTTAGGGAGGATGGTAGGAGTATCCCACTAGTAGGAGGGGTCTGTGAACTGTGGTCTCTTGAGCCCTGTGTCCCCAAAGCAGCCTTAACTCTGCTTGTAAGTGGTACATTCTATGTTGATTTACCTGCAGAGGTGGTTTCATGAGGGGTTCCCTGGTCACAGGGCCCAACTAAGAGATGATGCCAACATGTCTGGTGCTGTAGGGGAAATGATCAGAGCAGGGAGCATCTGGGGAGCTTTTTAATGTTCCTAGAAGAAAGCAACAAGAGCATTACAACTGTGGCAAGAAAACTCTTAACACTAATTCTTAAAATTTAGTCTAATTAACTCTCACTTTTGAAGGAGCTCATTAACCCATTTATGCCAGAGGCTGCAAATTTTTTTGTGAAAAATCAGACCTTGGCAATGACCTTGAGCAGTAGGATAGAAATAACTCCCACAAGTTTAGCATTCCAATAATGGAACGCTAGGCATAAATGGGTTTTACGAAAAGAAATTCTAGATTCTGTTTACAGACATTCTGATTATGTAAATGTGGGATGTGCTGAGGAGTGTGAAGTTTTGTAAGGACTATGGGTGATTCTGACACAGGTGATCTGAGGACTACACTATGAGATACACTGCTGTGATCTCTTGTAAGATAGCCAAGCCAGCAAATCTGCACAGAGGAGAACCCATATTCTACAATATGGGTTGTTCAAATATCAGTGCTAAGTTCTAGGTTGAGTAGTTACTTTGAAATAAGGCCACTAGGCTTTCCAGAAGTTGCCAGGTTTACAAATGTTGAAGTGTGGCGGAGGAGGGGGCGGGAGGCGGCTGTGTTAGTATTTTCATGTCACCAAATAACCAAATAGACCCTCGGAGGAATAATGGCATCTCTCACTGCAGTCTACATTCCACATCAGACCTCTTCTACACAAAGTGATGGTCTAGAGTGAAGACCTTCTAGGCAAGATGCTACTTCCGGTGCTTAATTTACATTTGGTGAAACACTGATAATAATTTTCCCCACTGTGGATTTAGTTGATTCCAAAAGGTATACTGTCCTTCATGTAACTAAATTGGTTTATTTCAAGCTATTTTAAAAATGAATTTAAAAACATCAGACAGCATTCAAGTGAGATATTATGGTTACGATTAGGCCATTTAATTAGACATCCAATCACAATGCAAACAGCCACTGATTATTTAAGAAATACACCTTTACAAAGGTTCGTGTTCTTCAAACAAAACTAGGCCATAAAATGTATTACATTAAATCAATACTGCTGTCTTTCTCCTAGAAACCCTATCACTTGTCTTTGTCTTTTTTCAAATGTGTATACCTGTTTTAAAGTACAAACGCTTAGGCTAGATACTGGAACTAAGCTCTGTTTTGCTGCCAGTTCTTTCTTTGACACCTTCCTTCTCTCCACTAAAGCACAATCATCATTCTCTTTAAGGATGGACAAGATGGACTTTTAATTATTCTTATCTGAGTGTTTTATTCAGCAAGTATTTGTTGAGTATCTGTATTTATGCACTTACGTTTGTAAATAACTTTTGTTGCTATAAGCTCCATGAAGAGAAAATGCCCAGTGAAGTACCTGACATCTGGAATTCACTCTCATGAAATGGTGAGAAAACTGAAAGACTTTGTCAGTTACAGAACAAAATAATTTCTCCTGTATACACTACTGACAAAGTACACATGCAATATTTAAGAGAATTTTCGTTACGAAAAATGTCTGATTTTACTGTTTAGAGAGAAACTGTAGGTTATTATGATAACCAAAAGTTCACACACCATTGTCTTGCAATACAACTTGTGACAGTATTTCGACACCATTGCCAGACTAAACCTTTAACATTAATTATTTATCAAAATTATACATGCCACTAACACATCTCAACAAAGAAGATTATGTAAGTGAGCTGCCTTGGCGTCAGTAATACTGAACACAGTAGCTATTTTCAATCCTTCATTAAAATTAGATCAAGATGTACTTGTATTATGTGTTGCTGTTCCTGTAAGGAAGACTTACGTTAGTTTAAGATTTACTTTGGGTATAAATGACATTTTTTCTTTTTTGACATTTTTCTTCTTTGTCCCCTCCTCCACTGCCCGCTCCCCCCCAAAAAAAAGTTTTCAGTAGAATACAGAAAACAAAAATACAAACACCTGCCCTGTTCACTCTCTCTTATGCATAATAAATGCTTTGTTCTCCCCTCAACTGGATCCGGCAGGGATCGCCAGGGGCACCTGCCACTTCACCCTCAGGCTTGGCTCTCTGTCCTCACCCTGGCCCCTAGAATTCCAAATGGTGCAACAAAATACGACAATCCTAAGGTTCGTAAAATAAGCAATGGGTAATTTATTTTTCAGTGAAGGAAAGCCTTTAAATACTAGTGTTTTAAAACATCAGACTTAAAAGTTACTTCTGACTAGGCTGAAAGGTGAATCCAGGCGCATATAAACATATCCTGGCCTACCGCTTCATAACTCGCGTACCGTGTTGAGGCCCCAGGAAAATCTCAAAACGGAGATGTAGTCTAAAAACCGGACGACACCACAGACCACGTTGCTGTAGCCCCACATTTTACCCACGAGAAAATCTAAGTGGTTAAGTCACTTGTCCAAGGTCAAGCTGGGCCAGTCGCAGGCAGAGCTAGTCCGCGACCTTCTAACCCTTCCTTCTCCCACCCAGCCGCGCACAGGCCCTTGGTCGCGCCGGCCCCCGAAGGGTTCCCACGGATACGGTTCCCAAGTCAGTGGCATGTCAGTGCCCTTCAAGCTACCGCACTTTTATTTGTTCTCCCCGCCAGCTCCAGAAAGTATTAAAGACTCTCTCCGCGCCTTCTTCCCAAGCCCAGGTGCCCTAAACCACTTGAGCCCACCGCGCCCAAAGCCGACTCACCCGCAGCCCCAGGTGCGGGAGCCCTCGGACCGACTCCGGCCCTCCCCGCAGTCCTCGTCGGCCGCGCTGCGGCCCCGGCTGACGACGAGTCGAGAAAGTCACCCTCGGTGACCGCGGACGCGTGGGGCGGGCCGCGTCGCGCCGCCCCGCGGAGGCGCCGCAAACTTTTCCCGGCTTGCAAGTTGCCGGGCTACGCGGCCGCGGACAGACTTCCTTCGCCGGCTGCCGGAACGAGGGGGGCGCCCCTATCCCGGGAGGGGGCTGGGTGAGCAGGGTGACGGTCAAGTTGGGGTCTGGGGAGCGCAGGCGCCCCGCACTCTGGGGCCCGGCCGCATTGTCTGCGCGGCCTCGGACCAAGCCCGGGCGGCGGTGGCACCGGCGGGCGCGGGGAGGAGTTGCCGTCCCGAATTTGCCGCCCCCTTTCGCCGCCGCCGCCCACCGCGTTCTTTGTGTGTCTCTCGCCGCCCTCCGGCCGCTTCGCCGCTCGCCTGACAGCTGATGGGCTCACCGCGCCGGGTCCCGCGTCCTCTCGGCCGCAGCCGGCGGAGCCCGGCCCGGCCGGAGGAGGAGGGGAAAAGAGGAGCGTTGACAGATGCTGTCTCGCCGCGGCCACTGCCAGGGGAAAAGCCTGGACTGCCTCGGCAAGAAGCGGCCGGTCGGTAACCGGCCCCAGCCTCGTATTCGCCTCAAAGACCCCAATTGCCTAGGAGACCTTCCCTCCGCAGCCGCCCGCTCAGCTCCGCTCTCGCGCCCCGCGCCCGGCTCCGCGGACTAGCGCGCCCGGTCAAGAATCCTGGGGAATCCGCTCCGCCCCCTGGCTCCAGCGTCCTCCAATGATGTCGGCGTACACAGGGCCGTTCCATCCAATCAGGTGTCGGAAAGCCCAGACAGTCCGCGGGAGTGTAGCCAATAGACGGCGACTCCGGCAACACACCCGCCCTGATCCACTAGGAACAAACCGCTCCCAGCTCGGTGGTGGGACCGATCCTGGCGCCCAGATCAAGCCAAGTCCGGCCAAAGCTGTGTCGCAAAGTGAGAATCTGAAGACGGGTCCGGTACTTAAATGGCTATGATTCTAAAAAGTTGAAGATGGGAACGGTGGACGCACAAAATCTTTACCCTCGGCTTAAAACGCCTTTTCTGGCGAAAGTTTGTATATGAAAGAAAGCTGAACACTTTGTAGCACTGTTTAAGTGAAGGCCTTTCCTTTTAGAACACTGCTTTACAATGCCTAATCAGCCGGGCTCAGGTTGGTGCATTGAGTCCCGAGCGTTTTTGTTCCTAATAAGTTTGCCAGAATGTCGGATATCTGAAACAGGTTAGTTTCTATCCTGCCCCAAAACACAGACTGTCACTGGCACCACCATGTTGTGGTTTTTTTTGTTTTTGTTTTTGTTTTTTCCTTGAATGAAAATATAAGAGTTCTGTATGTAAATCATCTTTATTGTGAACTTTATTTCTATAATAAAGTCACACAAGCTATCTTCAGCGGAGGTTGGATGAAATACCGGAAAAGAACAATGTAGAGACAGGTGATAGATACGTGGGATATCTCTATCCATCTGCCACCCATGTATCAATCAAGAAAGGACTTGAGTAAAGCACTGGCTATAAACGACTGTACCTTTTGATCACAGGACCTTACAAATAATAGATACACTAGTTGTTTGTTTATTTGATTTGAATAGGATGACTCATTTGTTATTGTTCATAGGAAGTTTATAAACTTCATTGAGTTGTTTACTGAAAGTGGATTACACCATGACGAAAACAGTATTTGGCAACACGTATTTGCGTATTTCAAAATAAAATTACACTTATTTGTACTTCAAATAGTTATGTCAGTTTATTTCTTCGGGTAATAAACTGTGCATTTAAAAAATTTTGTACACATGTGGCATGCTCCTTTATAAATTATTTTGATGACAAAATACATTTTTTAAAGGATGTTCTGGACAATGAATGGAAAGAAGAGATCTGAAACAAGAAAAATATGGCTATATTACCTCCTTGCTTTCGTGATTGAAACTCACCACACCTTACCACATTAAATTCGGGGGATAACATGACCCCTGAAATGAAGTTTTATCAACAGGTCCAGGTTCTGGATTGACCTTGAGCGAATCTCTTAATGACTAACTCTGTTATAAGAGAACAATATGCCTGGCTCTACCTGCCTCCTTGGGGTGCTGTGAGATCCAACCAAGATAGTGTTTGTCAAGCACTTTGCTTTTTGTAAAATACTGTGCCAAGTGCAGAACTGTCTTAAATGTGTTATTATTCTCTGTTTATTATCAGAACATTAATATTTCCTCGACTACACATTTTTTCAATCTGAAATATATTTTTGAGCCCATCAGTTTTCTTTCAAAACAGATTTGAATGAAACTCCTGCCTGCTCATTCTAGATCAAAGCAGTACTTTCAGGGTTTCTTTCTTTCTCTTTTTTAATGGAGAGGATGTTAGAAGAGAATACTGAGGAAAGAATTCTGGATGGAAAAGGTTCGAGAAATTTTATTCACTCTTAGTGTATTCCTCTCAGTATATTCCTCAAAAACAAGATGGATCATAATGTCCAATTTAATACTCTGTTCATAATGTTTAAAAACTTAAGCAAGTTTCAATGTATACGCCTAAAATAAGTTAACATATCTTATGTCTGCTAATACAGTCTTAGATGGAAGTTGTAAATGGCTGGGTCAAAGTTATACCCATAAATCAAGTACTGAATTTAAAATTTTGGAGGCATTTATTAAAGATTCACTTATCACTTTTGTACTTAATTGTCAAAGAGGAAAATAAATGTGTATTTTTAGATTTTGTGTGTCATAATATAATTTGTTTACTTTTTCCCAAAATATGCAGTCTAGTACAGAAGTTTAATTATTACTCCAACAAATGTACACGTGGTAACACTAGAATGTAAAATTTGCTGAATTTAGTTGAACCAGCAGTTGTTAATTTTCAGTTAATTAACTGTACATATTTCATTTTCTGAGTGAAAATTGTGGAAGAATTTATCAATATGAATTCAATATGCATGATTTATTAAGTATATTTAAGTCAAAACCAGTGTGTGGTGATTTCCTGATAATCGACAAGTCCACACCCATTTATTACATAGAAATGAATATTTCAGTGATTGTCTGGGTAATATTTGTGATTTCACTGTGGTGATGTTTCATTCACTAAGTGATATTTTCAATTTTTCATCAGCGATTTTCTCATCAGTTGTCCAAAATGGAACACAAGAGCGGAAGCTATTTTAGAGAGCTATCAGTTTTAGCACATTTGAAAATGTTTATTAGAGAAACTGACTTTGGGGTTAGTTTTAGCATTTATAAAGATTATTTTTAAAAAATACATAGACAGACATTTGTAAAGATAATTTTTAGAAAATACATAGACATCTTTTATAAGTTGCCTCACATGATCTGTGGTAATATGACTAATCACAATATTATTTTCTCTGTATCTTTGCATTTAATTTGCTATCATCTTAAGATTGCTTCATCAGTGAATATAACAAATAACTGGATTTATATCTTCTTGATTTTGATAGTTGAAATGCTTCTGAATTTCTTGTTCCACGTGACTTCTCAACAAATAACCGAGTCTAATTCATTAATCTGAAAATGATTTTATTAGGAATAATGAAATAATATGTATAGAGAGAGAATAGAAAAATGATTAGCTCTATTTTTCTTCCTATTTCTTACATGGATGAGAGAAAAATGCCTTTGTGAATCACATCAGATCCCTTTAACGCTCCTTTTACAAAACTTGTATTTTGTTGATTTCTTGAACTCAACCATGTAGTTTCCTTATTGTGTGATGTATCTACGGCAGGAAACTTTTATGTGCATATGGAGTAACAGAGAGAAAATTTCAGAAAACGTTGGTGAGGGGCACACTAGACTCCCTTCTCCATTTTATCTTGGGTCACAGTCCCTCGGGAAAATTTCTTTCAGAGTTAACTGTTAGGAAAAATTTTATTTTTTCCGAAATGAGATCTTTGCAGCTTCTCCTTCTTATTTCGACTACTAGGAAGCTTGGAACTAAATTTACAGCTTAATTTAGCAAGGTATGGCCTGCTTCGCTGTAATTTTTTTTCGTTTTGTAAATTTTAAATTTTTGTAAGTACATAGTAAGTATATGTATTTGTGAGGTACATGAGATATTTTGATGCAGGCATATATATATAATAATCACATCAGAGTAAATGGAGTATCTATCACCTCAAGCATCTATCCTTCCTTTTGTGTTACAATCCAACCATACTCTTTAAGTTCTTTTAAAATGTACAATAAATTTTTGTTAACTGTAGTCACCCTATTGTGCTATCAAATACTAGATCCACTCTAATTTTTTAATAAACACAATGTTTACCTTGCCATGGTTTATTACTCTTCATCTATACCTTATTAGCTTATATATTTGTACGTATGCATTTTATTTAAGCTCTGTAAAACACTTTCTGAAATGAGATGAAATATATATGAATAACGTATTCTGAGCCTCACATAAACTCTTGAGTATGAAGAGTTAAACATAACCAGAACGTGTGGTGAGAACAATATGAAGGATATTGCTGATATTTCCTTCACAGAGAAATAGGATTCTAATTCACCAGGTATAATCTCTCTAAACCTTTTCCAGAGAGGCAAGAAGAAAAATAGATGTACTTGACTGGGAAATTTTATTACATTTATTTATTTTTTTCTTTTTCTTTTTCTTTTCTTTTTTTTTTTTTTTTTTTTTTTTGAGACAGGATCTTGTTGTGTTGCCCAGGCCAGAGAGCAGTGGCATGATCATAGCTCACTGCAACCTCACACTCCTGGGCTCAAGCGATTCTCCTGCCTCAACCTCCCTAGTAGCTGGGACTACAGATGCACTCCACCATGTCCTGCTAATTTTAATTTAATTTGTAGAGATGGGAGCCTTGCTATGTTGTCCAGGCTGGTCTCGAACTTCTGGCCTCAAATAATCCTCCCGCCTTGGTCTCCCAACGTGCTGGGACTACAGGTGTGGGCCACCGTACTTGGCCCAACATTTACTTTTCAAAGTTAAGGTTATTTTTAAAAGTCATCTCCTGAGTGACATATTGTCTTAGCACTGTTGCAGAACTTCATCTTATCCAACATTTTTTGTTTCGTAAGATACATTTGAATTAACTAGAAGTTGTAGGTTAAAAATATCCCTTTAAAATAGAATGGTTTACACAAAGTAGATGGTAACATCCCTCTTCCAAGCCAGAAGGTCAGCATGTAGGAGATCCTCAGTGGAGTTAGGAGGGTTTCAGTCATAAGGGATAGAAAACTCAACCTGACTTAAATATAAAAGCAATGTATATTAGTGCATGTAATTAAAACTATACCACCTTGATCAAGTAAAAGTAAAGGTACAGCTAGCTGACAAAGGTGGGAGAGGAAAGAAGGGGGCCAAAGAAGAAAGCTGGGTAGGGGCATCATGCCACATAGAGGGCTGCCGAAAAACTGTATTGGACAAAACGTAGTTTCATCCAACTTTATTAGATAACATTTATTGGACAAAAAACAGAAATTTAAGTAGCTACTTCTACATTACAACCAACAAAACTGAAAATGATAATATAAATATCAAGATTGCAGAGGTGTTGAAAGAAGGACTAATGTAAGACCTCATTTTACATAGGTCATTTTATATAGCTGAGGGTCAGGTAGATAAATAAATAATAAATAACAAATATAGAAATATACTAGTTATTTCATTATTTAAAGTTCATGTTTTGTTCAAGCAAATAGTTTATGGTTTAGTTTTCTACAGGCAGACACTAAAAGCAGAAATGGTTAAAAGGATTTTCCTTTGGAGGAGGGGTTGTTGTAATTACATGTGAGGAGGGTTGTGGTCTTATT